TTTACCTGCTATCGGCAGGCAAACTATGATAAGATCCTCCGGAAAGCGTCCGTACGGGGGGAGGATGGCAATCCCACCCCCGCCTTTATATTTGCAGGAGCTCCCATCGCTTGAGACTCTGAAGACAGCCTGGGAGAGTTCATGGGTGGGGCCTGGAACAAAGCGGTAAGATAATTCGTACGGGGCTTCTACCGGTAGGTGACGCAACGGAAGAAGGTAGAACCTGTCGCCGATCTGAAGAAGAGACCGACCAAGCAACTCAACAAACTCAAGATGCTGAAAGAATCCTGACGTGTGCTCGAAGCGTCGCTCAATCCATTCCGAAACAAAACTCTTCCAATCTTCTCTGTCAGCAGCTTGTGGAACCCAGTTGCCTAAGCGATCTAAGGACTCCCACGCGAGCTGTATCCAGCGCACAGAATCTGGCCATCGACCTCGGCGCCGACGAGTGGAGTCCCTGGTGAGCAGCCAATCCGCATCTCGAAAGCTGATGACACGGGTAATGGGGCGCCAATCGAAGACACTATGCCGGGCTGCGTGCCCCCAATAACGGAGGAAACACGATGCCTGTCCTATCGCCCAGCGAACATGGCCAACGGCTTGCATCGCCATCCTGGTGGCTCTGCGTCGACAGACCCAATTGTCTAGTTTAGGTTGAAGGGGGTCGTATGCGGGACGCAGCATAGAAGATACCAAGGTAGTCTGCAGGACGTCTAGCAATCTGGACACCTCGGTGATCGGCCGCACCGCCGCTGACATCCACTTCCACTTATTCGTGACAAAAGCGTCAAAAAGGTGGAGACGCTTCTGCAGGGGTGAGGAGCCTCGGCACAAGAAACCGCTGTGGGCCCAGAACGCATTCGTGGCAGCTGCTAACCTCCTGGAAAGTACAGTCGCACAAGACAGTCTGAAACCTATCAGGATTCCGAGGTAGATGAAGGCCTCGGTGTGCTTAATTGCGAGTTCCGAGGGAAACCCGTCGGGAAGCAGTGGGGAGGTGTCTTGTCCTGGTGTGCAAATAAACTGACACTTATCCAGCGCGAGCTGAAGCCCGATGGCTTGAAGCGTCGAGCGTATGTCCAGTAACATGCCAAGGGCTGCCTCTCGGGAGGGGCAAAGCAACACAATATCGTCAGCGTACAAAATGGCGTGCATCATGACCCCTCTCGCGTCTTGAAGCCAGGTCGGAAATCTGTCTCTCCAACGATGTAGTGTGGGGGACACGAAATGGTCAAGAACGCGGGCAAAGATTTCAGCGGAGTAGGAAGATCCTTGTTTGACCCCCTGCAATAAGTCCTGGCACCAATGTTCAGATCCCATGGAGAGGCTTGCAACTGAATTACAAATTATGGTGAGGAGTAAGTGTGCTTCAACAGAGGGACCCAATGTCAGGAGGAAGCGGCTCACGGCTGCATGCGATAGTGTGTCAAACGCTTGGGCTATATCCAATTTGACCGCATATAGCGGTAATCGCCACTGTTGTGATTGCCTAACAGCATGTTGGAGGGCCAACGAGCCATCAAGGCTCTGGGCTCCTGGTGCACCTGAGAGCTGGCAGGATGTCATAGGAGGAAAACGAGGGCGGAGTCGACAGAGGAGGAGTTTAGTGAAGAGTTTGCCAGGAGTAGAAGAGAGAACGATGGGGCGTAGATCTTTAGGCTTGCAGGGAGTTTTAATTTTCGGCAAAAAGACGACCTGGGACCGGAGCCAGGAGCTCGGGATGGGCCTAGACCCGTGGAGAACAGAGTCAAAGAAACGACGAAAGTTGGCTTCAAGGGGAGACTGAAGAATGGAGTACATAAGCTCGTATGGAATGCCGTCGGCCCCACTGCTCTTGCCAGCCTTGGTGGTCCCAAGAACATCCTGCAACTCCTGGGCTGAAAAAGGCTCGGCATTGGGGAGCTCGCCGGCAGACTCCTTGTATAATGTAAGGGGGAGATCACGAGGTTGTAAGTCTGCAGGCGTGTACTTACGTTTGTAGAAGGACTTGAGGTCTTGGGAGGCTTTGAGCTCGCCACCAGCTCGCATCATGTAGCCTCCTTGGGCCGCCTTAGTGCTCTGTCTACGTTTAAAGAAAGACACTGCGTGGTAATCTCCCTTTGAACCTCTCTCCAGGAGAGTCGAGAACCACGACTTCTTAGCGATCGCTCTGGCTGCGGCTACATTGTGTGCCAGTTGCCTAGCTTCAGCCCCCGTCGCTCGTCGGCGGGCCGCAATGAGGGCCTTGATCTCCGGACCGTCCCTATACCTTAACGAGCTGGGGCGGAAACACACCTGAGCGGCTAGACTTTCTAGATGGCGCTCGTCAAGGTCCATGCTGTGTAATTCTAGCTGCTCCTGCAGGGCTACGCAGAACTCCGGTGCAGTTTGTAGGTTCACTCGCCATTTACCGCACTTTGTGGAGTGGTTGGCATACCTTGCAAAACGACATGACGACTTAGTGCGTTGCAACTTAAGGCCAGCTGTGCAGCATCTGTGGTCAGTTTTGAGCAAGGAATCCGACCCCTCAAGAACCTCAGAAAGGACAAGGGACTGTAGGCCCTGGGAAAACAAAACATAATCGATGCGGGATGTCGCCCCACGGGTATTCGACCACGTGTGTTTGTCGGGGCATGTTCGAAGCAGCCCAAACTGATGCATAAACCCATCCAGCATGACTCGACGGTCGTCGTTCTCTGAGGCAGCGAGCGAAGTTAGATCTAGGTTGAGATCAGCCATAACAGTAATTGTGTCCTGAAGGCGGATCCCGTCAAGTAGCCCCCGGAGTTGTTCCAGTTGCTCCTGCCACAGCTGCGAGCAATCGGTCCTTTGTCGATGGGGTAGATGCAAACTAATTATGAATTCCTTGCAACCAGCATTCTTAATTACTACAGCCAGACCTGTTAAAAGAGGTTTGACTTGAATTACGTGCCGCAACGAGTCGAGAGGAATGCCGACTATGGTGCCGTGAAAACTCTGGGGGGGGAAAGTGGAGAAAATGGCATAGGAAGAGGAGCCCAAATGGACTTCGTCTTGTTCCCATCCCATGTGAGCGAGTTCTTTCAAGCCGCCCACTTCCTGAAATGCAAAAAAGTCAATCCCCTCACCACCCAGCAAATCCCAACATCCTGAAACGTCCTCGAGGGTTTTACCGCGAAGATTCCAGGTACGCATGTACGTGACATGTGCATGGCAGGGCGCGCGCCCCTATGGGCGCTTGGTGATGCGAGTCTCCCAACGCTCCGGGAGGCTTTCCGAAGTCAGACCTGTGGCCTTAGTGAAAGCAGCCCCCTTGATGTACCAGCCTGAGTGATTACCCCTCGCATCTGAAAGGGGGAAGTCATCGTCCTGCAGGGGATCGGCCGAGTCGGGAGAGCCCAAAACATTGATGTTACCAACAAAGAGCTTGCCTCGCCAGTCGATCTCTGCCAGGCGTTTGGTAAACCCTTGTGCAAATGTTAATTGCTCAATGAACTCCTTAACCGAGACAATGGCCCGAATCTTTGCACGGTCTTCGGGAGTTCGGTGTCTTTGTACCCATAGCTCTCTACACTCTTGCCCGGGAATGTTGCTGAGAAACTTCTTAGATTTCAGCTTGTCCAGAACCTGTGTTTGAAAGGCTCGCTGCTGGGGAACGTTCTTACAGTTGTCGGGGAACTGCAGGGTGACTCGGACGTGAGACGTACGCGAGTATGGGCTCCAGATGTCTAGCCAGGACTTCTCAAGCTGCATGGCCTCAAAAAACGCTTTGGCTTCCTCAACAGCTTCGTCCCTTCTAGCATCTTCCCAGCCCCCAATCGCCAATTGTAATTCCTCGTCAATGTTTCGCTCACTCCTTGGACTGCTCCCTCTGGGGGAGGGGGGGGCTCTCTGGGGTGTCGGCGAGCGCGAGGCAGCCCTCAAGTCTCTCACTTCTCGTTCAAGAGCTGAAAGGCGGAGGTGGTGAGCTTCACCCCGCTCGGTATGTTCTTTGAGAACGGCATCATGAGTGTCAAGTCGGACTTTATGGTTTTGAAGCTCGGATGTGAAATGAACCATCTCACGATGCATGTCGAGATGCCGGACGTTCATATCTGAAACGTCCTGCTTGATAGGTTCAAGTTGCGTGAGAAGTCTGCCTTCCAGGGCTGCCACCCAAGGGGGGGTCTCTTGATCATAGGGCGTGGCTCGCTCTCTCTCACGTTCTCTCCGAGACCGGAGACCTGTCGTTAGGACAGGGGGGGCAGCACTCTTCAATTCATCGTCGTGGTCTTCTTTTTTGACTGAGAAATCTGGATCGATGTCGAAAAACTCTGGGCCCCCTCCACGCCGGTTAGGGCCACCGAAACCTGGGGCCTCGAGTCTGGCGAGTTTCGAAGGGGGAGGTTTTCGGGTCGAAGAATCGCTACCTGAGCTCTCTCTGTCGTTCTTCTTGACCAAAAGACTTTCCAAAGCACTGACATGATGTCCGACCTGTCCTCCAGCTGTAATCGCTGTCTTCGGTCCTGGAATGTGTTCCTCCAGCGATTCCCTCGAGGATTTATCGCGGCTCCTGGCGGGTACCGGGACAGGCCCGGTCGATACCGGCGATTCGCCAATTCCTCCGGCGTTTGAGTCAGGAGAAGGGGTGCGGTCTCCGACTGGCCCCTCATGGTCCCCTTCATCGTCTACCTCAATGCTATGGTCAGCAGCTGTGTCCGCAGGGAGCCCTCGTGCTGTTATTCCGAAAGGGACGGTAGTAGCTTGGCTGAGGGAGACTGGGGGAGCTCTTTCAGCTTCCTCCGTGCGAGCGGAGTGCCTTGAAATCATCTTCTCTCCTTTACTCTAGTCACGCACACGCGCCCTGGAGACCAAGAGAGAGGGAGAGGAGAGAGAGGATGAGAAGGAGGCATCGAAGCTGAAGGCCAGTGTTTCGAGCCGAGAACTTGAGCCAAAATGGCTGTAGCCATAAGAGCATGGAAGAGCATACATGGCAAAGCCCAGATTAACAACTTCCATTGACAAGGGTACGTAATCTCATGTTGCTGTCAGAGCCGAGCATCCCAGGTCTCGATGTCTTCCCACCACTCGGGCCACTTGTCGCCATCCTTTCATACATGCACATGCGCCCCGGTGGGCAGCGAAGAAGGTGCGACTGGCCTCGAAACTTCTCGTTGTCTGGATCTCGATGGGCTCCTCCTGCAGGGTTGACGGCAACGGAGTCGAGGTTGAAGCTTCCATGCACTGTGCGGAAGGCAGCCTTTGGAAACCTTCCGCCCCCCAAACACTACGGAATCGCAAATGAACACATAGAGCATGCGCGTCCTTGGAAAGAAGCGGCACGAATCTGCAGTCCTTACATTCGCACCAAGGCACGATTCGGAGTGGGGGGTAAGTGGTACCAAACAGGATTGACAAGCGGGGCTAGGACGTCCAAAACAAACATGGGCACATTGACATGCAGTTGCAACACTCTTCTTGCCCTTTCGACCGACACCTGCAAGCAAATGGGTAAAGCTTCTGTTCGTGTTTCTGCTGCCAAAGAGTCCATCTCAGCGCCAATGGAAACGCCGCCCTTGAGAAACATACCCGGGTTCCTTGTTCACGCAGAATGCAGCTTTTTTAGCGTTCTGCACAGTGGACTAATCTAGACGCTTCTGGGGCTCCGCTAGAAGAGAACTGATTCGTCTTACATGCCTTACTTCAACGAGGCTGTGAATTGCGACCGCCGCAAATCAATGACTAGTATTTCTGGCCTTGCACACATCTGCCGGGCAGTACCCTTCGTGCGGGGTGCTGTGTAGCCAGCGTTTACCATTAGTGGCTGTCTGCAAGGTTCCTGTTTCAGGGCCTGCACAATAGAATCCCAACTCACCGTACTTGCAGTCATCATCCTCGTCCTGCTGCAGCATTCTCAACTAGCCGAGCTTATGGGCTTGCACAGGGCACACATCTTCAACGCCTCCACATCTTCAGCTCATAACCTGCACGAAAGCAAGAATGACCTTTCAGCCGTGCCACACAGACCCCAGTGCGGTGTTTGCAGTGCAGCCCTTGGCCATGGCGCTCTGGGTCCACTCACTGGCATCCTCAGGTCACAAGGCTGCGAAGGCTAAGTTGTTACATAGCCCTTCTGGGAGCCCAAAAAGGACGAGGGGAACTTAGGGCGTGGATCTTTGGTGTTCTTGAGTTCGTCGGCAGGGGTTCAGCTCAGAGGCGTCCCAGAAACTTGTTTCCTGTCTTGGTTGGCTTGAGAGTTAACACCACACAGGAACAGAAACAGGTGAGTGGCTAGTCAGGGCTTGGAGCTCGCATGTCGGGTTTGGACAAACGCGCTTGCGTCATTGCCTCCGCTTGGATTTCCTATATCAAGCGTGCATTCCCGTGGCGGAAGACTAAGAGAAGGAAGAGCAAAAAGCCTAAACAGCCTACGTACACGAAGGGGGGCCAACCTCTGTCCCATGTGTAAACACCGGCGTCTCTGCGCTCTAATGCTCGCAGGGCACCTGCTTGTTGGCAAAGGCTGTCCTGAGAGGCGGCTTTCGGATCCTGTTGGGCTACGGAGAGCTCGGGTTCCTCGTCACAGACCCTTTGCAGCTTTCGGGATTCCTTCTCGATTTTTGGAGGTCTTCCGCTTCAGGACCGACTCTTGAAGACTGTTGCTGCTGTACCGACACTAAAGGAAAGCCAAGGTTTCATGAGCACCGCATGCCTGGATATAACATTGCCTTTCCTGCCGGACCTTCTTTGCACCTGTTCCGCTGTCCCCCACTTTCAGACGACAACACTGCAACAAAAGATACCGATACCAGAGGAATCTAGTTTGCGCTCTTTGGAACCTGGATAGCACTTGCCGGGTACCGTGTCGCCTTTCGTGGAGGCTCACAGCTCTGTGCCCGGAGCAAAACCAGCCAAGATTCGCAAGGAACGACAAATCGGGGGAGGGAGAGAGAGCGAGGGAGAGCGAGAGCACGACAAACAAAGATAGTTGCCCGCCTGCGACAGCCGCAGCCAACACTGTTTCGGGAACGAGCTATAAACAGTATGGCAGCTGTGGGCCCAACTCATCCAATGGCATTAGTCTCGCACCACAAGGAAAGGAGATGCAGAAGCTGCAAAGTGCCAGAAGCCCACACAACCATGCTGAACTCCAAGGACCAGCGGCTCAGGCACGATCCTCCACCTAAGTGACTCTAGGAATTCGTCCGGACAATCAAGCTTTGGGGCGGGGGCCGAGGAATCTGAAAGTGGATTCATGACAATGCTTACCCGGCTCAGGCGAGGTCTTTGCATGGCCATCGGTGCCAGAGTCCAGCTACGGCATGCCTAGTGCACCTGAAGGTCTTCCAAAACGCTAGAAAGGCTCTCCCGTCCAACACTGCAGGGCAAGTCAAAACGGGGTGTCTCTGAGAACTTGTGTGGCACCAGCAGTGGCTTGTCCGCCAGGTGCGGCAGGGAAAAATCCAACACTTCTTCAATGCATCATTGTTGTTGCGGTAGCCATTGTCACAGAAGGCTCCAGGATGTTGCAACTGTGTTTTTGTTTGTCAGATTTGTCGCATTACTTCTTTCTCAAACATTCATGTCCAAAGCCTGACACTACGGCGAGAGCACTTTGGATAGGCAACCGGTCGGTTCCATAGACGTCTACACATCTCTCCAACATATCCATCAGTTGCCAGTCTGGTGTTCCGCGAGCACCAACAGGATGCCAGCACCAGACGCTTCCGACGGGCCACACACTCATCGGCACAGGTACTGTCATACACGGACACATGCTAGCAGCTTTGCATAAGATATGGGCGCCGACGACGACTATTGCTACTACTTAATCCTGCCCCCACTCTTACTTCTCCTCCACATATTCCTACTCCTACAGCTACCGCGACTGCTACTGCTGCCACTGTTGCTCCCGCTGCTGCTGCTCCTCCTACTCCTGCTAGCCCTCGAAGTCAGCAAGTAAGGTAGGTACGGGTACCAGTCTGTCAGGGCGGCAACTCTGTAAGGTGCTTGTCTGCGCCCATTTCGTCTTGTTTCTGCAAGCGAGCTCATCTTTGTTGTGATGAGTCACCCTTTGACAGCCCAATCCCAATGTCCGAGCTGAAACTCGAAAGCTTCTGTCAAGTTAGATTCAGAGCCTAGATACTGGGTGCTGCCGGGCGCGCGCCATTCAAACCTCGCTGTGGCCTGGCATTTACTTTCTCTTGCTGCTCACAGGTCTGAAGCGCTCTCCCACTTTAATGTAGGGGCCTGATAACGAGAATCAGAATAGGGCTTAGGGGGTGCCCATTTTTCTATAGTTATAATCAGGAACCCCCCCAAAAATAGTGTTGATACTTATTTAGGCCCCCACAGTACCCCTGTAGTAGCCTTTTTCTTGTGGACCAGGTCTCGGCCATAACTAGCAGGGAGGAAACAAGATGAGCTTCGTAGAGTCCAGGCGCCGTTGGAGACCTCCCTGTGCAAACATTTCTACTCCTTTGACTTCGCACAGCTGACAACATCCTTCTCCCGCTCATCAAGCCTCTGTTAGCGTAAGGAGCTTTGCTGGCTTGCCCGGCCCTGCCTGAGATGTTGCCTCAAAGTACTGGACCTGCGCAATTCCCGGTGGGAGTTTGCAGGTGAGGAAGCTCACCGTCGTGTTTGGGGAGAGGTCCAGGGTTTAGCTTCATGTGAAGATGTCCTGAACCAGCACACAGGGAACGGGCCAGGTCACATCGTCTGACCCTTCGAAGCTCAAGAGCCGATTTCAGCCAGGCTCCAGGCGAAGCCCAAAGTTCTCCGAACAACACCTGCCTGTTACACTGCTTCTATGCTGTATATGCTGTAGTGACTGTAGTGTGTAGCCGTGTAGCCTTAGTAGCTGCCTTTCCTAGCAGCCTTTCTCTTGCAACATCAGAATCACCCTCGCCTCGAAGGGATAGTTTCCTCGCTCCAAGTCCTGGTGGGAATCTTCGAAGATGCCATTGCTTGGTTCATGGGGCCTTAAGGGTTCAGGGCACTGGGTCCCTAACTTGCATCGTCCGGGTTTGATGAAACCCCAGGCACTCGTGACCCAAGTGGTTTTGCACTGCGGCAAGTTTTTCCGAAAAATCCGTTGCATAACAATCACCGGGATCGCGATTCGAGATTGGGGACGCTGCGTTGCCGGTCACCGTTCTGGAATTCTCGTTATCTTCTCCGCATCTCCGGGTACAGTCGCAACATGACAGTCATGCCGCGGCATCCTCCGTCTCTTTTTGCATACGGAACCCCGCTTTGGACCTGATTGGGCGTCGCCTTCGCACGTATGCTGACATGCTGATGTAGCAACAGATGCAACAGATGCATCCCGAAGTACATGAGAAGATGGGGCCCTTTCTGAGGCTTATAGTGTTCCAACAAATGCGGCTGTTCTTGCAAACATGTCTGGTCGTCATCTCAATCTCCACAGCAATGCCTTTTCTGCTCTGGTTTCCCACCACACCCTGAACCTTGAAAGCCCGCAAGCTTGACTCCCAAACACTCCTGTGCTTAAACTTTGTAAACCCTGTTGATATCTGCGGGTGGGCCAAGAATAAGAAGCCGGGATCGCGACACTTCCAGGTCAAACCCTCATTTGCCCACAGATTCAATCTAGGCAATCGTCAAACCGTGTTCACAGACAGCCTCTCCCTGAAAAACTGATCATCTGTATCAGTGCATTCAGCCCCAAACCCTGTAAGCACTATCGAAGGTGTAGAAACCTCGCACCCTCCGTTAGAGCATGGCTCCATCCAGTCATCGGACTCCCCATAGCGCGTAGAACCGCAGTTTGGCAAATTGATGATCTGGGCAAGCGCTTGGATTGCAGCTATGGGCGTAAGGTAAGGTCCAGGAGAGGAAGATCTAATAGGGCCGAGTGCTACCGCTGTAAGCCTCAAAGTCTAGGTGTTCATCACAAAACCTGGCAGCTTCATCAGCTTGGCTTAGCGGCATGTGGCCATGGTAATGAGAATGTCATTGCTACGCATGACCAGCACTGGCTAGGAACAAAAAAAGAAGGCCCCACGTGTCGTTTTCTTGCCCTAGGCCCTAGACTTGACCTGCAGCTCGTCCAGTTGGGGAACTCCGACAGCTGCGATGCTCTGCAAATGTGGGGGGGCCCAATAAGTTCGAGGTTTAGGGCCTAGGGACGGCAGCAACGTGCTGAGCTTCCGGGAGGCGAGCTTGGGTGTAGGCAAGGATTCTGCTTGTTTAGGAACTGATTCTGTTGTGTGGCTGCGGGTTCTCCGAAGTCCCCCACCGGCTGAAACTGAAGACCTCGCACACGGCACATAAGACGGTCAGGCAACATTGCAGGCATGTCATCATCTTTCGTTCCAACCCCATCCTTTCCTCATCTCAAGATAAAGTCGCCGGCCTCCTTGCCATTGAAGATCATCTTGGCACTGTCGTCGGCCCAAAGTCGCAGCTTGTATTTCCCTCGGAGGCTTCCCGTGCAATATGCTTGAGGGAAGCTCGAAGCTCATGATGTTGTACGGTATATGGACATCTGTGAGCACTGACCTGCTTGCTGGCATTTCATACCGCTAGTCTGTCTTCCTGTGCACCACGCGTTCGACCAGAGTCCCAAATGTACCAAGCAGTTGAAGCCCTTCTTCGATTTGGAACGCCTGGAACTAAAGACCGCACAAGAAATGCTGATGCTCTGGATGATGCGATGCACCACTTCCAGCTTCCGGAAGATACTCGTCGATTCAAGCCCTCTCCATTTCAACAAAGAACAAATGCACAAGTACCGTCCCACTCAACTAACTGGATGCTCTGATTGTTGCCGGCTGACCCGCTGTGTCGATCATCAAGAAGCCTGTGTACCTCCAGTTCAGGGTTTCGACTCGGCACGTCTGTAGTGGGGATGGCGGCCCGAATGCTACACGACTCTTGGAACTAGGCAAAAGATTTTTGGAGCATGGTTCCTGTGCAAATGGACCGCCGACAGGGAGACAAGTCGCTTCAAAGAACACATGCCTCAGAATCACTTACATGCCGTCAAGTCCATCGACTCTTCGCATGGGGAAGGATTTCTACACGGTTGAACAGGTGCATTTTCGATACCTGCTCTTTACGCATGTGCCCGATGGCGGTCCTGGCGGCAAAGTTGTCGCCGATATCTGTTGTTTTCCAGAGGTCCAACCTTACATCATGACTCTTGGTAAGCTTCCAAGGGGTAAGAGCATGGAAAATGCAATGGACACTGCTAGACTCTGCTAGACACGATATAAATGGGAGTTTCCCAACATCAGGGGTACCTTATTTTGGGGCCCTGATAACGTTCCTACTGTTTCGGGTGCTATATTTCGGTCCCTTATTTTCGGAAACTCCCAAATGAGCTCCGCTGTTTCTGGCGTAGGACCTAGGAATCTCCTGGGTCTTCAGTCAAAGAGCGAGAAAACATCACAGTAAGCCCAGGTCCAAGGCCCGAAATCCGAAGCGTAAGTCCCTTTGCTTGGGTTCATGTGTTGCGATCAAAGCAACTTGGGAATCGTCTCGACCTGGCCAGCGCTTAAGATTAAGAGGTTTAGAGTTCAGGGTCGGGGGAGAAGCCATGAGAGGCAATGAGGTGAGCCGGGCACACGGTTTAAGCTCTTGGGGCTTCGTTGTTCAGAGACCCAGTGACCCAATGGGGCACTTGGAACTCTCGCAACATCGGCAGGCGGAAGCTCGGAGGGCAAAGCCGCAAATGGGTTTCGGCGCTCACACTCGGACAATCCAGGCGAGGCATATGGTTCGGAGTCCAGGCCGCGTGGCAAAGAAACTAATGAAGATAAGTATGCAGTATGTGCAAACGAAAGCCGGGGTTGCAGCTGCTGGTGTGTGTGTGTGTGTGTGTGTGCTCACTTAGCATTGTGCACTTGTGCTGCTCTCGCAGCATCCCACGGCTTCCACGCCGTTGCTTTACAGTCTGCAGCAAACCAGCATGCTCACTGCACCCCTCGAAATTCTAGCCCTGTCAGGTGTAAGTGTTGTGTGCTCTCAGCGTCCTTGACTCCTGTGCCTCGGAGCCCAGATGCCTTGTAGTGGTCAGCTTACAGGCGTAAGCCGTAAGCGTCTCTCAGTCTGGAGTTGGACTCCCAATAATGTAAGGGCCTTAATAACTAGAATAGGGTTTCGACTCGCACACTCGCTCAACGCAGGCACGGCTTCTTGAGGTCAGAAAAGGGTTTAGGGGGTGCCCATTATACTTACTATATGATAACAAGAAACCCCCCAAATAGTATTGGTACTTATTTAGGCCCCTATAGTATGTCCCTGACTACCTTGAAACAACACCTGGATGTGAAGGGGCCAGGGCGGCGAGGGACCAGGGTTTCCCACCCTGCCTGTGACAAAGTCGCACCACAGGGAAGAGAGGAGTCGAAAGCATGAGATCTATTCCAAACACAGCCTTATCCCAAGGCTCCAAGGCCTACGACACCCTGCTCACCTAATCCTTGGGATCTCCACCCTGAACGGATGCTTTACACAGTGAGCGGCAGATGCGCTGAACCGGTAGGATGCGAAACAAACTTACTATGTCCAAACGTCTCTTCGTGGCCTTGTTGGGGGCCACGTACTCCACATCGGGGAACTTGCAGTTATCCTGGTCGCACAACAGCCCGGAGTGGGAACTTCTGGGGTCGTACAACTTACCCCCGCACCGACGGTTACGATGTTCAATTCTGAAGACGGTCTCAACACGCCCCGGGCGTTTTCACCTCCTTGATATCCTATAGGCTATAGGAGTACATAAGTTTGGGCCTGCCCACGGAGCAGGCTTGGTATTTCTTCTGTCTACTCGGGTTTAATGGAGCATCACGCTTGAAGTTTTCGAGAAGATTCTCGGCCAGGGCCAGGAATCCTAAAGCTCAAGCCACAGCACATTTGTACAGAACCCTTCAAGAAAATTAAGCGATAGGGCGAGGGATTCTCCCAGGGCATGGTATCTCCACAGCAAGCTCGCTGAGAGGGTAGTTCATGCAGACGTAGTTCTGGTACTGGCAGTATTCAATGAAGCCACTACTACCGGAAGGGACGCTTCGCAACTGTCGTTTAGAGAAGTTCTCTGTCGTGACCCCTGCACTCTACATGATCCAACACTGCCGAGGAACAGGAGCTTCCGCCCTCACTTTCGGGAGCCCTCACCTGTTCCCTGCGCCGGTCACAAGCATAAGAGTTTCATTGCACCCTTAACCTTCATTGCTCTCGGCCGCCGAATTTTCGCCCGAGCTGCAACCTTCATGTGCATGAAGTATTCAGCCTCGCAGGGCGTGAAGGGCTACGTAATTTTGAGGGTCAATAGAAGGCGTGGAACATCTCTCGTGGAAGATGCTCTTCAATGAGATTTCATCAAAATATCGGAACCCGCACAGGGGTGGTTGAAGAGAGCTGACAGGCTGCCGGCAAAACGACAAGAACTCCTAACGCCGTGACTAGCCTCACAATACCTCAAGCCGATCAAGGCAAGCATGCGATCGTCTCTGTTTTCGGCGAATAATCCAAGGTTTGCAGCCTTTGGGCTCGGGGGCTTGATAAGGCTTGGTATCTGCGGTCTGAGGCATTTTTGGCCTTGTGCTGACCCACTCATCACGAATACAAACGAGCGCTTGAAGGAGCTGTGAAGTTCTGGGAGGGAAGGCAGCAAAGGAGCCCTGAAACTGGCACACCGGTATCCCTTACTCCAGAAACCAGTCAGAATGAGGGGCCATCTCCATCCAATGTATTGTCCGCCCCTATGTGGAGCGATGCGACATATGGCAATCGCTGGACCGGAGGGACCCCTATAATTCCGCTGTGTACTCTAAATTCAGTCCTATCTGCCTGGACATGAAACCTTCATGCCCCAGGCGCGCCTTGATGCCCGGTTGCAATGATTCGCCGTTGAGATGGGCGTTGCGGAGAATGGTCGTAAACATGTAGCCTTACATGGGCTGTTTCGGATACCTTTAGGACTTTAGGGATCGAGGAGCATGTAAAGATCCGCATTGCTGTGAGCGAAGAGTCCCTCGTAAGGATCATGTGCCAAGTACTTGGTACCGGAGATCGCTTGGAATGATCAACGAGTTTGCTTCGATTTCTTGTGGAATGAAACTTCTGCAATAAGGTTTCGGCTGAAGAAGGTTCTCATTTTGGCTATCCAGTTATCCTGGTTTCGCTTGTCAAAGCTAGGGCTTCGAACTCCTGACGACGCATCGTAACCATGACGGGACAGGCAAGTATGCCTGCAAAGACTGCAGTTACTTAACCACGTCCCTCTGTTGGGGCCATTGGCAACAACGGTGGCGACCATGACTACGGCGACAAGGCTTCAGACCTCAAACATCCAGGTTAGACTAACATGCCAGCTCTAGCGTGCTCCCCAACTTTCTGACAGGAGTCCTGCCTGCTCGCAAGGTCAGGCGAGGTAAAAAGCGTAGATCAAAACAAGCGAAGCTAAAATCCGACATCTCTGTGTGAAGCTGGTCAATGCCCTTGAGATGCATGTTTGAAGCTGCAAAAGATTGCAGGGAATTCTTGTGGGACGCTGGTATCAGGAGCTCAGAAATCTCAACGCAGATTCAGACCCAAGTTTTGGAGCACAGCGCCAAGATGCCCATGTACGACGCCGGCAGCATCTGATGGACGTTTTTGGGCTGACACTGGCCGTACAGAACCGTCATGTGATCCTGCGGGCCCTGAAACTACCCGACCAAAATCTCACTTAAGCACCACCAGCCCCTTCGTACAGATTACATCATTTTTTGCCCCCAAGCTGCAATTGCCAGCAAGTGCTCCGCCGAAGACTCGTATAACTCAGGCCCGCAACATTTTGGAGGGTGGCTCCCGAACACGCCACGCTGGGGAAGTCTAACCCTGGGGTCTCCGGATCTGCGAGCTGGTGAGGCATGAGGCAGTCATTCCGCCCGCCAATGCGAAGATGCCTGGAGCCAGAAAGTCTCTGTTCAAGGAGCTCTTGCGGAATCCCCTGAAAGCTTCAAAGAGCTTCGGGTTTCAGTGAGCTTGTAGGCCCAGGCCAGGGGTTTGTTACCACCGGATTGTTTGTGCTGAGGTCATTGGCTCGCTGCTCTGGCGAAGGACTGCCTGGCTTACGCTGTGCGATGCAGAGCCCCTAGCCCTAGCTACGCTGTGACTTCCTGCCTTGGACCTCAGTAGGAATCCCAAGAACAAGGGTCCCACGGTCCTATCCCCCCGGCATGATCCCGGACATGGCCTGCTGGATGGATCGGATTCGCTCCAAGACTCGCTGGTGTAGGTCGTCCTTGCACATGGCTCGGCGTGTCAGCTTTACACCACTCTTCTCGCGTTTTGTAAATTCAGAACAGGAGCCTGGAGCCTGTCTAAAGCAGAACAGGGAAACGCTCAAGAGGCTCGGGGAGCCTGGGGTCGAGGGTAACGGAGGCACTCCTGGAGCTGTCCACTTCGGACTTCGGGCCACGGGTGGTTCGACACACCACGCAGGAATATTGTCATCGTGGGACCCTGCTGGGAGACGGGGAGGGCCTAGACCACGGCAAGAACCCGCACCGAAAGCCTGAAAGTCATAAACCCTCATCCAGAGCTGTCCCAGTTTCGGACACTTTACACCATCCACCAACTGCACTTCGTTGTCCTGCAAGGCTTGATTGCTTGCCTGTGAATAGAGGCATGTCAAGAGACACCAAATCCCTGCAGTCCTTTGGGGCTTCGGGGCTACGTATGCTCCAAGAACCCTTCCCGCATCAGCCAGGGTTTGCTAAGAAAGGCTTCCTGTCGACGAGCCCTTGACGATACCACACATGCAAGTGTTGGGATTCAAGGACATTTGGCGAGGACTGAGGCGGTGCTATGGAAGGGAGGTTCCGGTTGACTTGCAAACGGCAGTGGCTACCTTCCACATGGTCTTCAGAGTGAACAGCGATTGGATGACTGACACGAGCTGACAGCCACTTGCTCTAACTTGACTCCTCGAGCAACTATGCTCAGAGAAGCTACTGGTGTCTTCAAGGATTTGGGAGTTGTAGCCTGTGCAAGATTACATGCTTGAAGGTTCCTAGAAGTAGCAGTAGCCGGTAGCACTCGGCAGAGGAGCAGTAGTAGTGGCAGCAGCAGCAGCAGTAGGCAGCAGGAGTAGAAGAAGAACCCGTTGCAAGCCGCAGTACTGCGCACTAGTACTAGGAGGACGGCGAGGAGGAGATGCGCTTTTGGCCACTCTTTTTGTGCTGTGTTTCTTACCGGTATTTAAGATGGTTTCGCAACCTCCCCGAACTCCAACTTCAGTGTGTGCTTCGTGTCCTGCGTTGGTGGAATTCAGTGTTCACTCTCACTGCTTTTGCCCGGGGTAGTTTCACTTTCGGCAAAGTTCTCTTGACGTTCAGACAAAGTGTTCGCATGCCTGCAGTGTCTCGCTTTGCGGGGTGTTCTTGCTTCTAGCTTCTGCACATGTTTTTGAGGAGGGGCAGCGCAGTACCGTCGTGAGGTCTGCGCTGTGCTGATGCAACCTAAGCCCACTTTCTCATATGACCCTTAAGTGCCTTCCGGCTCTGGGAACTGGTGGCATTCGCATGCCAGCCTGCATCCCTAAGCCCTTGCAAGGGCGTCCAGCTTCTCGTTGCAGAGCAACAGCGCCACGCGCGCGCAGGGCGCCTTGCCCTTGAACTTGAAGCCGCCGACACTCCTGGGCTAGAGTGAGGCCAATGGGCTAGATTCTAGATGCTCTGTGGGCTTGTTAAGGTTTAACAAGCACTTTACCGAGCAGCCACTTAAGACCTTATGAAGCATCAACAGGCAAGCCTGAGGCAAAATGCATGCCCGAAGACAAGGATTTGACCGTGAGGGTCTTCTCGAAGTACACCCGTACCTCGGTCAGCTACAAATCTTGCACACGGACTTGAAAAATCCTCCGAAGGCAATGTGTGTGTGCGCGCTATCAGCCATCCAATGGCCCTTCGAGCGAAAGAAGTGCAGAGCGGTTGTGTGGAGGCTCTCGACGATTGCTGATACCACTACTTGTAGTATGGTTTCAGGGTCGCAAGCCTCGCAGCTGCTTTCGTCTGAAGCGAGCAGCAGCAGTTGTCTTTGGGAATGCCTCTGCCCTTGCGCCATTCTCTCCAGTCCGTCGTTATTCTCCAAGCCCGTGCGAAACGTACCTAAAACACAAGATGTACTGTAGACAAGGCAAAAGGCAGCTTCGTCTTCCGTCCCATCGGAAAGTCCAGTCAGCGGCCTCCACTCCGTGCGGAGGCTTCCTGAGCCGTGGGAGAAGTGTTGAAATAATCTAGGCTAGGCCTTAAAGGTTTCAAGTTTCAAGAGCATGTCGGGGTGTATTCGGATGGGGAGCTCGCAGCGCGGCCTCGACTTAGAATTCACCAGGGTAGCCTGTAGAAATCCTATGTTTGAACATGCTTGAACATCTCGGCGCTGCGACGCAGACACCGCTGATCTTGGGAGTGAACATATACGTCGTCTTTTCAATGCAAAGTCTGTTGGGCTGATCATGGGGCAGCTCTGAGCCCAGCATGAATAGTGTCATCTGCTTCATCGGCTCAAGATGAATGACGAGAGAAGCTCGGACACAGACGAGCCAGCCCATGAGTATATACCTTGTCATTTCCAAGAACTTCTGGAATGCCTGAAGATCTATTCCTGATATCGTCGGCAAGCCAAAGGCAAGCAGGCATTGATGATTTGAAGAGGTTTTCGTAGATTCCTGCAGGATGCGGAACATGACTTAGGCCAACATCACGGACATTGGACTTGGAGCATAGGGATGCTGGTGCTACAGTCTGAGGACGTGCAGGTGTGAATGAGAGGAGCGAACGTGGCGAACTTAAACAAGCCGTTTCACCTTTAGCAGAGCTTGGTCCCGGAGACTCCGAATGACATTCATAAGGGTGAAATTCGGAAAGTATCGAGAGCCATGAGGGCGGACTTGCTTAGGAGAGCATGGCGGATGTTGGGGTTTCTCAACAGATGTCCTGCTCGTCTTCCGGATGCGGTGGCTACTGACCTGTGTATTTTTTGGGGATCCTGAAGTTTGGATCTGGTGCATGTAACATGGCTGGAACGTGCAAGTGCCCATGAGGCCATACTCCTCAAGGACCTGGCTCCAGCTTTCCATAAACTCTGCTGACGGCCTGCGGAGCGTTGCGGAGCCTTAGAAGCCGTGAGACATGAACCAGTTTTTGCTCCGAGTTTCGCCAAGTGGTCTGGTACGAAAACCCGAAGGAATAAACCTGAGCGGCGGCGATGGCATCTGCGTGTTGGGCAGGGGAAGAAGGGGGCTTCAAACTCAGGTCCTCCTCGTGCCCTTCCTCCGACTCCCCTAAACAATAAACCCCACAGAGTGTTGTCCGAGTGTTGTCCGCGGAAGAGGAGCAGTGCCATCACCGTTGTTCTTCACTCCGACACCACCTTGGAGGATGATGCCGACGACCTTCGTAGGCTCCTGCCATTCCGGTAGCAGGGTTCAGACTGTCGCGATTCGGACGGGTCGAGGGTGACTCTGGCCACTTGCACGGGAGTGGATTCATTATCTTGCAAGATGCCCTGCACCGATTCTTTCATGGAAAGATTCCGCAATCCCTCAGCGTCGGAGGCATGACAGTTGCTGAGTGAAAAGGAAGGAATCTTGTCAAACGCTGACGGGATGATGTCTAGTCTGGTTGTTCAAGAACTCATAAGAAGGCACTGCTCGCAAGACCCCATCACAGCATGCTCGTCTACTAGTCCAAACAAATGCAGCGACCATAGATGGACAGTCATACCCAGGCATTACACGCCTGACACAGCTCTTGCTTGTCAAGACTTCTCGCATGCTACCCTCGCAAACACCCATCTTGATCCTTTAATTGGTGGTCATTCTCAAGGACCACAATGGCAGCCCTGCCAGCTCTACGTCACCAACATCCTTGAGGAATCGCCGGGGTCTGAACTGGAAATCACCGCCCATTCCCTCGTCACGGATTATCACCATGTGGGCCCCTCCGCAGGTGTCTCCCTGGCCTGAGCCTTAAGCAAATCCTAGGACTGGAATCCTGCCTTGAAGTTGAATATCACCTTGGGATCCCTGGTGCCCCTCAGTCGATGAGCCATCAAACAGTCTGCACAGAACTTCGTGTGAGAATTTCGACAGGAAGTACCTGAATGAAGGTTTCAAACAATTCATCCTATGCACTGAATGTTGAAAGTACGACAAAGAACTGCATGCAGCGCAGAGCTGGCATTGATGACATACGCAAAGGGGTTGCAGGATTTCCAATCAGTGAGGCAGATTGTGCTAGCCCCTTTAATCTCTGATGGCTTTTTTGAATAGCGTAAATATTGACAGCCGCCCAAACCGGCAGAAGGCCCTGCAAGCACCCTGGCGCAAACAAGTCGCATGCCATCTTGGCCTCTAGGACTAAACTCTAATTCCCTGGGAGCTAAGGACCCCACATAATCCCCCATGGCCATTCCTTCAAATTCCTTCCCTCCAAAATCAACCCCAAAGACCTGACGAGGCACTCTTTGGCACACCAGCCCCTGCTGGAGTGTAGCTGCGAATCCCCCTTATTACCTGCTGCCGGATGGCTTTCAGAGCTTTAATTTCAGGTGGTGTCACCGTCATGTATGGTCTCTGACTACCATCTGCGGGAGCTGGGATCGGGTCAGGCCGTCCCCCTTGTGCAACATTCCGTTTCAGGGTTCTCAAGTTGAAAAGGGAGAACTTCTGAATCATTCTATGAACGCATGCGAGATGTCCCTGACTAGACCACGCTCATCCGTTCAAAGAAGCCCCAAACATGACACTGCGTGGCACTCAAAAGCGGCCGGAGAATCTTGCTCCCCTGGCCTTGGTGTGCGCTCTGGAGTCGAGTGAAGAGGCCGTGTCCGCCGCCGGGATTGTACAGCTTCACACGACCTTACACGGCTCCGTCTGGGCCCAGGAAAGCCAGTGCAGTCGGCTTTGTTTTCAGCTGAAATCGGGGTCAAGAAATCTGAGTCCCGATCACAAAAACAAGCCAACCTTCCGAGCAAAAGCAGACCTTGGATCTCTAGCAAAGCGCGATGGAGGCTCATCCCCACCAACCTCCCTGAAGTCTCCATTGAAGTTTCCTTTGATTTCCAGTACCTGGCTTTTTTGAGCTTATTCAAAGTATTACGTCAGAGCTGACTCTTCGCGGCGAAAGCTCGACACCGACGACTACGCTCTCACAACTAGAACAAGCCAGGCAAGTTTCAACAGGTGCAGCGAAGACTGAGACTAAGACCACAGCAAATTCACGGTTTAAGCTTCTTTGCCACAGTCTCAAGTCTTCCTGGATTCCCAGCATGGTGCCAGTATGCGTGCTGTGACCGAGGCACAGTCTCCTGTGTTGCCCACGTTCATCTTCTTCAGCAAATACCTAAGCAAAGATCGGTGAGAGACGACCGTCCGGCTAAGACTAGCGGCAGAGCCAGACTCGTACCTGTGCAAGTCATCCGAAAGCTTGCGCATACTGATTTGCGCATGTGGCAGTAATGAGAGCGTCTCGGCAAATCTAGCGATGACACCGAATTTCACCACTTACCTGTGCAACTCAACTGCAACAACATCAGCGAACATGTCGTTTCGCCCACAGGATACAGAATGAAGCCTCCGCATAGAGGCATGCTTTTGGAGATTTTCGAGAACGCCAAAAGTGCCAGTCATAATCTTCAAGCCTGACCCTGCTTGATGCAGGAAAGAGTGCAAAGCTACATGAACCCTCCACTCCAGTCGAAAAGCTGACACATGCAGATTTCAGCTACCATGTATTCTGCAGGGGAGTACGGAATTCAGCGACTCGAAGCCCTGAGTTGCTCGACACTCTGAAGTTGTTGCACTCAGGGGGGCACCTCCAAACCTTCAAACTCTAAGCTAACACCACACCGTCGAAACCTTCCTGCTACCGGGGCACTGCGACACAGCCCTCATGTCAGACCTGCAGGCTCAGGAAGTGGGCAGGGTCAGGCGGAAGGCCGCAATTCAAGTCTGGATGAAAACGAGACGACGAAACACTACCATTAAGTAGCTTCGTGTTCAAGGGGCTCCGGGTTTAGGAGCATCGCTGCTCACGAGTGCTTTTGATACGAACTAGCCAGGTCAGGCACTCATAATACCTCAGGCTCCAAAAGCATTTTTCGGGAGTACCTGCCTGACCTGACCGGACCGTGCCGGATTTTCTGCGGCTTGCTTCTCGAAGTGAACGGAGTTAACACTCATCTACATTACGTGGCAGATGTGGCTTCTGAGCAATGACAACTCTACCTCTACTTTGCGTCCATATTCATGGCTCTGGAACAAAAGAATATCGAAACCAAAATACTCCAATGGACAAGCGGTGACTGCTACAGACTACATATCGTTGCATACCCTGGTGTGAGAAGTGTATACAGATCACAAATGGAGGCGAAAGGCTCAGGCAGGACGTAGTCCCAGGTGATCAATTCCATCACCTTGGATGGAGCGAAGTAAAGGACAGCAGGAACAAGCCTGGGCACCCTTTCCACTTACCTTTGGTTAGTAGGGAATGGAAGACTGGTAGTAATCGTAGTTATATGCTAGTTATATGGTAGTAATATGATAGTAATATGGTAGTAATACGGTAGTAATAGTAGTTATACTTGTACCCCATTCCTCCATTCCCAACTAACCAAAGGTAAGTCCAATGCAATTGGAGGAGGAGCCCGACGAGCCCGTGGACATTCGACCGAGCGTGTGCTCGATACTGTGAGTTGGGATGCCTGAAAAGACAGTTCTGGTCCGGTGCTGCAGGTCCTGACGACAGTTCAGGCTCCTGCTATAGTTCAACTAAAGGAGCAGTCGTAGTAGAATCAGCAGCAGTAGTAGTAGTAGTCGTCATCGTAGTAGTAGTAGTAGTTGTTGTTGTTGTTGTGGTTGTTGGTTGTCGGTTGTCGGTTGTCGGTTGTCGGTGTCGGTGTCGGTGTCGTTGTGGTTGTCGTTGTCGTTGTCGTTATCGTTGTCGTTGCCGTCGTCGTCGTGGTCGTTGTCGTTGTCGTTGTTGTTGTTGTTGCTGCTGCTGCTGCTGCTGCTGCTGCTGTTGTTGTTGTTGTTGTTCGGGAGACATTGTCTAAACACGCCCAGACATAGCATAAGCAGCATAGGCACGTGCTGGGCGCTTCTGCAGGGATTTTTGGGCAGCTCGATAACAACAGGGAAGCTTCACAGGGGAAATGACGTTTCTCGGAACCTGCTGAGCCATGATCGAGCTTCCATGCAATGAAGATCCTCACGCTTGGTTTAAAAGGGAAACCTCTATGGAAGGGAAGGGCCATACGTTCGGGCATGCAGCAATGTGAAGTCTGATCGGAGTTTTTACACTGCTCAGCAGCACGAATGTTTGGTGATGATTTTGCCCACAGATGGAGTCTTTCGAAAAAACAGAGTGCACGCCAGCTTTTTGTATGTCGAGGCTCCGCCCAATGCGACTTCTGGTTCTTGCCATGGAGACCCTTGTTGATCATGAGGCTTTGATCTGTATATCCTCAGGTCGGAAACCAAAGAGCCCCTTAATCAAAAACATGGCTCATGCTGGGACCCTGGGAGCCTAGTTCCCACCATACGGGTCCCTGTCACCTGCAGCTTGTTAATCCTCATTTAAGTCTTCCCCTGTGCCCAAACACAGAGGGCTGTTTTCGAGGCAGAGGTGCTTGTCTCATATCGCTGAGGGTTCAAGGTCGTATCCCTGCAAGCCTCAAGGACGTGATATTCTGATATTCAGAAACATGTTTTAGCTTTTCATCCCTCTGCGACAGATTTCCGAAAAAGCTGAACCTTACAGCTCAAAGCTCAGAACCCCTGCACGCAACCTGAAAAGCCCTGAAGTTGCTCGTCACTTGGGCACCCAAACGAGCAGCTTTAAGCCAATCTTGAGCCCTGATTGATATACCTCCTTCCCTGTTAATCAGGATTACACTGAGACTCCTAACAGTATTGCCCTCAAAAGACTGGGTTCATCATGATTCGTCAGTCAAGGCTTCTTGAATTTGAATCTCGTGATTACCCCTCGATAGGAAATAGTGAGAGTTGTCTTCCAGCTACTTCGTGCGCGCGCGCTTATCAACAGGATCTTCGCAAAATCCTCAGTCTGCGCACTCCACGCCTGCAAATCCGTCGAAGAAATCCCCAAACCTGTCCCTAAAGCCTAAATCCTTCCCGGTCCCATAGTGTAGGGAATGTAATGTAATCCCGGACCCCGCTCCCCAAGAGAGCCCAGGGGTCGATCAGTCTTGCCGGTCCCCACCTTCAAGCCTTGGTCGTTTGAGGCTAAGGACCACGGAGCACTGGGGCCCAAGGGGCCCTGGGATCGCTGTGCTCGAAGTTCCGAACAAGGGGGGCCCTTTAGTGGCTGAAGGCCGGTATGAAACTACTACCAGTAGCGAGAGACAAGACATGAGCCAGCAAACGAACAGGTCTCAGGAGGACAAGAAGGCAAGTAGAGGGCATAAGTTGTCTGCACAGCTTCGGCTGCGATACTCTTGTGTGCCGGTCTTGTATTGGTCGCCGACAAAGCTCTCCACAGGTTCGAAGGCCACCGAGGCTCTTGCGACGTTGAACCGGAACCTTGTAGTCTGTAAGTCTATTCGCCTCATGACAAGTGTGATAGACCCACATGCACATGCGCTACCGCATGCCGATGCTCCTATCACAAGATCCCTTTCCAGTAAACCAGCAGGCGATGGGAATAGCTCAACTGACAATACTCTGTATCCACAATGCCCTAGGCTTAGAGTCTTCCACGCGCTTGCAGTTCAAAGGGCCGTCCACCATCGTGTAGCTCGCGCCCGGCGACGTGCACATGACCACCCACCTGCAGCTGCACAGATGCAGGCAGGGGCGGGCCGGTTCTTAAACATCAACATGAGTTCACTTCCCCCGTATGTTGACAACACAGCAATGCTATCATGCGGGCCCCATCTTAGACCCCGCAGGCCCTCGGGCGTATCGGGCGTCCGCTCCGTCTCTATTCTCACCTGTTTCCATGTGCAGTCTTTCATTTCTTCCTCTCCATCCGTCTCTCTCAGTCGCTTGCAAGCCTGCAGGTGATCTAGCAAGTAGAACCCTAACTGCCAGCAAACATATGGCTGCGTGAATTCCTTTTCTATTGCGGGAACTACATACGCTTCCTGTGGTCACTGGAGCCACTTAGATCTTGTGAGCCAATGAACTGCCGATGTTCTATGACCAGAGCCGGGCGTGGGGTGTTACGAAACAGGGCCTGGCCGGGGTTTGTAGAAGTTGAAGCCTGCAGGGCCGTTTGGGGCGGGGGGGGGGGCCAAAGCCCAGCGAGGCGAGCTTTCGGCCGGCGGCTTCTGTGCGTTCGGAGCTCGCTGTGACGTTGGAGTTTTTTTGCGGAAAGTGGCCCTTTCGGATCACTTGCGACTGGCTCTTTCTGTTTGCACTGCAGGGGGCCAGGGGGCTGGTGGACAGCTTCAACGAATCTTGTCCTAAATTTGCTCATCTGTGCTTGAGGCTTTTGTGGTCTGCATGCCCTGTCATACGAGGACAAGTCAAGCTGGAGCATAAAGGTGTATGCATCGATGCTGCTCATTCGTCTACAACTATCTCGAACTGAACCCTCAACTTTTCACCCATGGCAGTCCCAAAGAAGCAGACTTGAACGATCGTTCCCTGCAAAGCCCCATGACTTCCGGATACCGGCGTAAGGCAGATGTTGATTACATCCGGACACCGAAGGAATCTCAACCGTAGCCGTGAACCGAATCTGTCATCTCCAAATCCCAAGCGGCTTGGTGCTCCTGTATGCTCGGGTGTGATCAGTCAGCCAGCCTGTTGGCTTTCAAGTGCGGGCTACTCAAGAAGCTGGAATCATACAGGGCTCGTGAAAGACCGAGTGAGGACTTCCACTGGCTTCAAAATCGAGCAACAGTGTGCGGCAACGACCAAGGGGACGAAGAACAGCAGCGATAGGATCTTCACATCAAGCACTTTCATAGCAAACGAACGATGTCTGCAGGTCATGCTGCTGATGACAATAACTGACGAACAATTGCTGTGACGACCAGCAAAGATAAAGCTGATGAGTGTCCAACAGCAACAGTGTTCGTGATGTAGTGAGAAGCAGTCTGCCCAACATCCCTTCTGAGGGAGCAACCAGAGTCTTGTGCACCTTGACCATGCCAGCCCATGAAACCGTCAAGAGTCAAGATTGTGCCCGACATCGTCACGAGAGCTCAGGACTTCATCTAACTGTGCTTGAAATGAAGGTGAGAACTGCTGCTTGAAAAGACTCACTACAATCTACTTCCAACAGAAGCCGCGATACGGCATTAAGAGGTTCAAGGTGCCCTAGTTGCAAGGCCAACACATGGACGATCATACACTCACAAAGCTACTGTTACCACTCATGTTGGCAATGCTGCAACAAGACCACCACGATCTGTGAACATCCCCATATAAATGAAGCTATAGCGCCTAATTAGGCTGTTTTGCCAAGCTCCTGGTGAGTGCATGCTCTATCTGACTCAATCTGCCTTAGGCTGAGAAGAATATCATGGAAGCAAACTCAGCCGGGAAACCTTCTGCGTGCGCAACACCATTGAACCCGCCATGCTGCCCGGTGAGGAAATTGGTCTTTTCGCCTGGGGCTGGCAGTCAGGACGCGGTTTCTCCCGCAAGTGCGCTTCGGGCTGCTTGTCGGCTGCATGCTACTGCATTTACACAAAGACGGCAGGGCCAATCGCAAATTCGAAGACCCTGAGCGAGGTTATAAAGCCAATGCAGAGTGCCCTGCAGGCATAAACCAGGACATGACCCGAACACCGTCGGGACACACACCACACAAGACCGGGACATTGACTGTACGAAATTGAAATTGCTCTCTTCAAAGTCGGGTTTGAAGTGATTTACCCCAAGCAGCCTATGTACTTGTTGCAGCTAGTGTTGCCTGCTGACAGCGTTGTGTGAAGAGCCCCTGATGCCTCAAAACGTCCCTACAACCCGCCAGGTTCCCCTGCACAACCCCAAAAAGGGCCCTAGGCCAGTCCTGTGAGGATGCGGTTCATAGCCTCCCCCGAGGTGTAGCGAGTCACCGAGCAAACCTCGGCTTCGAGGTTAGGTTGCATGCAATGAGTTAAGCTTGAAGTAGGTCACTGGGTCTCCAAGATTTAAGGACCTTGGCCGCAAGGTCAAGATCTTCAGCTCTCACAGGGTTCACAGCTTCAAGGGTCAGTTCTCAAGATGCGAAACATGCATATCAAAGGCCTCTTTAATTGAGTAGTTTGACGTACTACTGACTCGCGAAATGCGAAGACTCTTGCTAACAAGGGTTCATCCTCTTGCGGTTTTACAGAAGCAACTCAGGAGCAGAAGAGCGCCGACAAGAATATGTTTTGGTTACACGGTCACACTCTGTTCTTCCTTGCATAACTGCTACTGACTACATCTGTGCGACACAGCAGGTGCTAAATTGAAAAGACTGCATACTGATTTTGGCCTGGGCGCAGTGTACTTGCCCTTCAGCGCGCCGGGAAACTCCACGTCGCTTTTGTCATTGCCTTAGCACGCTTGACTTGACATAGGTGTTTGGTAGGGCGCTTGTTTTCTCACCCACTCTTCTGGGAGGACCGTTTGTGAGGCACTGCAGCGCCGGCTGGGAAGATGCTCTTCCCCATTTTTTGGGTCTGGGGTCCCAGAGGGAAAACGAACGAAACCCCCTCTTGATGTAAAGCAATCCCGGGACCCCTCAACGCCTGTTGGGCGGAGTTGCCTTAAAGGCTAATGGAAGGAGAATCTGAAGACTCGAATCTGAAAGGCTCGGATTTCGCGGGGGCTAGAATGCTTATCTTTGCTGCGGGGGCACTCCAATTCCCCAATCTTGAAACGCTGAAACAGACGGCGTCGAAAACGCTCTGAAGCGCCGCCTTGAACCCTTCAGTCCTTCAGGCCAGGCGTTCTCTCTGCCAAAAAGCCCCGACTTTGCGAAAGCCTCGAGTTTCTCGAGGCCCAGACCCATGAGGTATCTCACGGGGACTCGTGCGCCGAAGCCCTTGGCCGTCATCACGTATACCTTGACCCAGTTTCGTAGGCTCGTGGAGATTTGAGTTAAAGTGAAAGGCAATTGGTCTAGATCCGTGAGTTCTCGGCGACCGTTTGAAGAAGAGCCGTCTCTTTGCTAAGGGATGTGCTTGTGGTGGCAGTTCTTCATACTCCAAAGAAGCTCCCGTGGTAGCTTCAACAGCTTAACCTCCCACTCGGGTCTTCACGTATTCCAAGGAAAGCGGTACGAAGCAACTCCAAGTAAGCCCAAATAAGATCATCAGCCAGTGGGTCTGTTCGGTTCGAATGGGCTTGTCACTGCGAGGGCGCTGAATCGTTCGAGGTCGCCATAAGCAAATCCCGTTCACCAATCTTCCAGCATGCGCTATGATACAGAGAAGTAAACGAGTCATAACATGGTTTCACGGCTGCTCATGCGCGCACTGAAGGCTCCCGTTAAACGGGAGGAGCTGTTTCAACCCATCGCTGAAATTGGCCCCAATGCAAGCAGCCACAAGCTGCTAGCGTTGGGTGGCCCACACCCCTACTGCACCTCTGTCCCTGTAGCCCATGTCAGGGAGAAGCTAGAGTGCAGTTTGTGCAAGGAGAAGAACAGTAAGGCTCTTCCCGACTGGAGATAGTTTTGGCCCACGCAGCCGATAGCGTCTTTTGGTGGCTTTCCCTTTTGCACACTTCAACCGTCGTGATTGTCCCTGCAGGCTTCTAGATGAGGAAGCGTGGAGGGGAGGGGAGAGGGCACTCCAGTTATTTGTTTTGCTGTTCTGGTTCCAGATTTCAAATAGTTTCAGGCTTTCAGACCAGGAGTAGGTGGGTGACTCACTGATCTCTCAAATCTTTGAAGACGACTCCGCCATTACCAGTACAGTACTAGAGCTCCACAACTCCAACTGCTGCCTCCAGGTCATAGCCAAAATCATGTACTAGTGCTAGCTGCTAATACTAGTACGAGTGCTACGACGACAACAACCACAACAACAACAACTACCACGACCACTACCACCACTACCACTACCAACAACTACTACCACTGAGACGAAGACTACTAGTACTACTGCTACGGTTACGACTACGACCACTACCGCTGCTACTACTACTACTACTACTACTACTACCACAAGTCAGCCTGCTAGTGCTACTACTAGGTACTACTACGACTACGACTACGATCAGACTGCTGCAATAACAGTAGTTTTCGCTGCATCCCAGGCTTATGCGAACGATCAACATCGTCTTTATCATGATCATCATGATCGGCATCACACCATGCGATCAGCATTCACGACCGCAAGGCTCACTTGACTTGCTGGAAAACTCTTTCATTGCTTCCTCACACAGGGTCAGGGTCGCAAACCAAGCTAAAGCCTGTCATGCCCAGAAAGCCGCTCCACACGCCGAAAACATGAAGTCCCAGCAGGATGCGAAACCCAGGAGAACACTGGCAGGCGGGTGACTCACAGAGAGCATGGTACATGCCGATCTTTCCGCAGCAAATACCGGCAGTTGCGGGTTCAATTCGAAACGATTTGCAGCACCGTGAAACGCAAGGCTTCTTTCCAGATCTGACACCCCGACTTCAGTTTTGACAAAACCTGGGATCACCTCAGCCTCTACTTTAAGCACTGCTACAGTACCTCAGAGATCCTCAGAGACGAGACACCCGGCCGGTTTCTCCACCGAGCTTGATCTGGGCGTTGCCAACACCTCGGACCGGAGGCGGACCCGGAGGGGCTCTGCGGGTCTCTGCGACCCTTCGGCTCTGAGGCCACTCCCGAAGCCTCTACGAGCCAATGCTCTAAGCCAGAGTTCTCAAAGCAGCGCTGCAGATCTTGCTTAAGGTTTAAGCAACCCTGTACCGAAGCCCAGAGCAACAGTTGGGCAAACTGCTTGGCACGAGCCGAGAGACTGCTTTTCCATTTCGATCCTGCCAAGCTTGCAGCAGGGAGATGCGGCAATAACATTAGAACCACGGTAGTTACACACGCAAGACTCTTCAAAGCATACCATTTCTCATCTGTGCACGGAAGCGATGTTACCCCGCATTTTTCAGAAGGTCTGCATTGCGTTGATCCTGAGACTCTCTTGGACGTTTTGCAGCTTCAAAGCTTGTTGAACACATCGGCATCATCTGACGAGCTTGAGAATGCCCATGTGAAGCAACCCAAGCGCAAGTGCTCTGATTCTGCGCAAATTCCTCGATACGAAGTCCGGAGTATGCTTCTTGTAAAGCCCGAGTTAAGCTGGTTTGTCTTAGCCGCATGGCCTGCATCCTCGCTCTTGTACCATGCCCTGGCCTTGCTGGCAAGGGCCTTTGCGGCAAAGCTTGCAGCTGGCATGTTCATGTGGCTTGCTTTTCAGGACAAGCTCAAGTGATCGGGATTGGGTAGAGCCGTAGATTTAGTTGGAGCTTACGAGATTGCTTCCACATTTCGAATCATCCCCAAGCCGACACATGGTCGTTCGGCACTTGCCTCCTCCTTCACCATACGGAGCAGGGAGACTCCGGTCAATTGCTGCGAAAAAATAGTCGGGGGCGGGGGGATAACTCCAGACACAGCCGGGGTTGCATCGTGCTTGGCTGCTTTGGGACCTCTGCCTCAGAACCCGAAAAAGGAAAGGAAAGGCCGCTCCGTAGATCTCCGTGAAGAGCCGAGGCCGAAACGGGCCCCGTAAGAGCTGTTGGAGTCTGAGAAGGAAGTTTCGTAATATCGTGCACGACCGAATCCAGAAGACATAACTTGCACTAACTTTAACACTTGATGACTCAGCATGGCGTACAACAAAATGCGTTGCTGATTCGGGTCTTGCCTGCCATGGAAGGAACAAAACTGAAAGCATCAAAGTTTCGGTGTGCGCACTCGGACCCAGGCGAGGTTCTTGGCAAAATCTAAGCTGTAGACTGCAGGCTTTAGGTAACTGAAAAAGCATCCCCAGAAGAATGGTTTGCCGGGCACCCGGCCGCTGGAAGTGTGGGAGTCTCCACAGGTTCTGGCTTCTCTACGTCCAAGCACTTCACCTTGGCTCTGGAGCTTAGCGCCTTTAGAGCATCGGAGTACGAGCGCAGGGGTAGCAGCATAGCTCCATTTGCCGCCTCTATCTCTAGGACCTATGGGAATGCTGGCAAGACGGAGCTGAAGCGGTGCAGTACGTTGTATGGCGCCTCCGCCTCAGTCTCATTGTAATGCTGATGAGGGGAAAAGCTCGACAGTAAAAGAGAGAAGGGCGAATGCAACACTCAGGTCCCACCTGACGACCTTCAGTTACCTCGATGAACCCCTCTGTGTCCTGAAATTCCTGAATCCAGAACGCATGCTGTAGCTTTTGCGACCCAGTAGCCAAGCCTGAGTGCGAAGGGCTCACCTTGTCATCTCTAAGACTGGTGCTAGGCTGGTTTCAGACTCGCATCCCCGTGAAATCTTCCGAGTTTTCACCAGAGCCCCGAGTTCAGTTGACACCGCCGGCCGTGCCAAAGCCTAAAGCATGCGCACATAGAGGCCCAAACGACAGGTCTCTCCTCCTTTTCCCTACTTCCATGGGCCCTCCTTTCGCCTCGGTGTGCAACTGCAGAGCCATCCTGTTGAAGAAGTACATCTCCTCCCCAACAATGCGGTAGGCATTTGGGCCCTGAAGACCCAAAGGCGCATACTCCATGGACCATGGGTCTGGTCTTCGAAGGCTCTAAGTACCCGTGTAGTATCTTCGGCCCTAGAGGCCTGGAGGTCTTTACTGTATGGATACTCAGACTCTTTGTGTGGCCTCGGCATGTAGTCTTGCAGCTCGGGATCTGGGGCTTGGGATGGAGCTGGGACAGGCGGAAAGCTGAGCTTGTTTTAAACCCGAATCGCTAGCACTCTTATCGCTTCTGCCCTGTGGAAGCCGAAGTTGAATCAGACCCTCGGGGCCTGTAACAGCAAAATGAACTTCAACACCTTACAGTCGCTCCTGCTGTCGCTTCTTCTCGGCATCCATGAAACCATGTGTGCCCACCTGTGGCGAGGGTTTGCGTTTCGGGCTTTACAGTCTCTGTGTTTGGGGGTGGAGTATGTCCTCCGAGTGGAAACTTTAAGGCACCTCGACGACTAGTGGTCTGATTCGCGCGCTGGTGCTACTTGCGGGAACATTGCCCAAGGTCTCTGGCTCTTAGAATGGTACAATGATTTTGTGTGAGGTTCCAGCACTCGTGGGTAAGCTGGCAGCCTACGCTCCGAAAGCAGGATACCTGAGGCTGAATTCTGGTGCCCGTCTTTGGACGTCCGCTGAGGAGGTTGAACACTCTTTGTCAACACGGCCGAACTCGAACTCCAAGCCTCGCTAAATTGTGTCCTCCGGAGGCCATATGGTCATTTCTAAGATCTAAGCCGACCCCACCGCCGTTGCTAGGCTACCAAGAGGAAACCAATACTTTTGAAAGGCGGGGGCCGGATCTACCCGGAGCAACATTGAAGGAGTTTGTCCAAGAACCTCCAAGAGCACGTTGAAGGCCTGAACGCAGGAATGGCACTTGAAGTCTCCCCAGTCCGGGAAGTTGTGCGAGTTGAACCAATTTCCTTGCCAAACAGTCCGGTCCCGATCGTCACATGCAACTGGCTGACTATACGCTACGAGGAACCACTGTAGCTAGTCGCAGACAAAGAAGCTGGGTCGCAACCACTGTCTACAGCACTAGCGTGAGTGATATAGAGCTACAAGCATTTCTTGGGGGAGTTCAGTCGCAGGTGCATTGTGAATGAAGCTTAGGCTTAGACTTAGACTCATGCGGCACTTGCTACCAGCCAGACCTAGCAATCCCTGAGTGACGGCACGAACAAAGACAGAAACGAGGTGCCTATGTGTATGCGATCCCCAGACAAAGCCGCAAGTAGGTGCGTGCTTGCGTTCATGTGGGTTATATATGTAGGAGGTATGTTTCGGGTATGATTCCGGAGTCCCCGCGACCTCCAAGATTCTACCGCTAACTCGTTCCTGTGTGAAGATATCACTGATTACATGAATATCTCAGGTTGAGGGCCTAATCTGTTCAAGCTCAGGAGTTCTCGGAGACTTGAACGAGATGGCTTCGGATAGAATGGGTCCATGTCATGGGAAGGCCCTAATGCTCAGACAAAGTGGCGCGTCGGAGGATATGGAGAGTTGCGGATGTTGGTAACCGTGTGAACTCTTGTATGGATTTTACTTTCGCACAGACTGTCATAAGCGCATTCGCTCAGGGACTTTCCCAAGTTGGATTCAGAGAGCCCCCCTGCGCTGAATATTGACATGTAAAGACTGAATTCCAAGACTTATTCCTGGCTCACTTCCACGACTAATATGACAGAACAGAACTCCCCAAATTCAACATCAGCCAATTGTGGTTGCACCAGCAACCTCAGGACCTGTCAGATTGGTAGCCGCGTGGCCGTTCACGCACGTCACGGTCTGCGCACGCTTTGGGAGCAGATTTGCAGACAGCTGGTCAGGGATGTGATCTCTACACTCTACACAAAACTAACTACTACCAGCACCAGCACCACGAGGACCGCTGCCAAGACCGCTACCGCTCTCGCTGTTGCGAGAACAGCAAGTTTCGCCTTCTTGCCAGTTTTCAAGCCAACCAAGCCAAGCCGATTTGGATGAGAATTCTTGCAGCCACACACACACACACACACACGCTAGCAAAAAAAAAGCTCCAGCTGAACAGAACCAACATCAAGCAAGTTTTGGAACAGGCTGTCTTGCAAGTGTATTTCAAGCGGCCTTTACTCTGTAGATTCCAAGGCTAAACAGCACTGGGATAAAGGAACTATGTAGTGAACCAGGCAAGACCATAGCGTGGAACACACATCCTATGGTAGTCGTCGTCGTAGGAGTCGGGATACGACGGTGGAAATTCTAATGACAAGACTACCGGCAGCCCCTCTTGAATGCTTGCTCGCTGTCCTCATGCGCAGCATCGGACGCAGCCGTAATGCCTCTGTAGCGCTCGCTCCAGCATGAGGCCTAGCAAGCAGAAGCACACCTCAAACCTTCCGCAAATCCGCACTCATGTGTTTGTCACAGCATTGAGACAATCTCAGACTTCCCTCAGTAAGGAATTCCTTGAGCCCTCGCATCAGGTGTGCTACCAAACGTGAACTTCCTGGAGTTGGAACGTTCGTAGTGGTGCCTCGCCTTTCATGTTCCACAGAATTTGAAACTGTGGTCATTACTGAAAGCCTGAAATCCTGAACCTTCAGCCGTATCCAGCTAACCGTCCAGATCTGATCCTTGCACCAATACCCGGAATGTCGTGCGTGAAGTTGGAGTATGAAACAAAGCGAGCCTTTATTTGGTGGAGCAACACTCCCAACACTCGAAACGTCGCAGTCAAGCCGTAGTCCCGAAACCACAAAACGTCCCCCGCCGTCCCCCCCCCTACGCCCCACCTTCAGCTGCGTTCCATGAGCGAAGGTCTCAGGCAACGGCCTTGTGAAATGTCGGCCGCTTCCCGAGGCCACGGGTCGCGAGCTTTGTGGCGGATCAAGTAGAGTTCTGGGCTGACCCGCATCGCTTCGAAGTCCGAGTGTTTGCTTGCTTTTACTCAAAACTGTGATCCCTTTGAACAAACCCCTAAATAGTTCGCACTTCAGTCACAGATCCGTGTAACTTACTTTCCATCCCCATCCTGATGAGCCCAGCCCAACACCCACCTGGCCTTTTGTGCTTCCACGGATGGCTTCCGATCTCTCGGAGAGTGGGGCGAGCACAGTGGCTTACGCCCACGCCTCCTGCGAGTCTTCATGCTTTGGAAATCTTGATCCGTATGAGGCTACCGGCGTATGAGCTTCCAATTTGAAGCCTGAAGGCCTGGAGATTTCAAGCGACTGCGGAAATGATGTCTGAGCTCACCAAGTAGGCCGTTGGAAGTCCTTCTCTACACTAGTAATTTATTAAAACCTTCCTCAACTCTGCAAGAAGAAGATACCAAATCTTGCTGACGGAGGCTCCTAGCAGCAGCATGTAATCGCATTGGACGTGCAAGTTCCAGTACCTCAAGGCTCAGGGCATAAGGTGGAAGGTCGTGTGCGGTGGGCTCACGAGTCAGGACTTATGCAGCTCCACATGCCTGGAGTTCTCTGTTGACGAGGGCACACGAGGTCTAGTGGGTCCCGAGAACAGCCACACCCTGCCACGAGGCATCAGCCAGCATCGGGATCCACCCACGGCCCTGGCAAAACAGCCTCTGAGTCTGAATGGCAACCTTCGTGTTGCAATGGCATCACCTGTAGAGACTTCAGTGGGTACCCCTCCCAACCCGAGCTGAACAGCTGAAGCTGCATTTCTAGGTCTTCGGATGTCTCATGGCACAACCAGATGCCCACAGCCAAGACTACACAATGCCAGTTCAGCTGAGATGCAGGAACTGCTGCTGACCTGCTGTGGTCAGAGCCTTGCGTCGCAGCGTTTTCGTCCAGCACTCCTGACATAAACGGAAGCCAACTATTTCTTGGCTTTCCTCTGGGGCGCATCCCTGCTCGTCCCCTTCTCAGATCTGCTTCAGCTTCTTGGCTGATTTGCGAGCATGAGAGCTGTGTCAGGCGCGAAGCTCCTCGCAGTGGTTTCCGAAGCTGCCTCTGATTTCTCATTCCGACTCATTCCCTTCCCGTTTACCTGGTGTGGAGTGCTGTTGTCGCGGATTCATATTCCCTCCCTGGCCGGAGCGAAACCTCAGCTCCGAAAAGAATAGACAGCAGCGGTAGAGTCGGCTTTCTTAGTATCGTTCAGAAACAATCATGGGGCCTCGAAAATGAACTGCGCTACTGTACCGTCTTCGGAGCATAGGATAGATTTTTCCTCGTACTTCGTGGACAGGAGACTTTGATTCAGAATTCTTTGAACACTACATCCTAAAGAAAGCCACTAAGATTATGTTTCCTCTGACCCCGAGCGGCCTCTGGGCCGCTCACCAGGCAAGCGGTCGACTTGGGCAGAGCCTTGAAGCTCAAAAAACTGGAATCCAAAGGTCTTCTGGTCCCGAAGAGGTCCCTAATGTAAGCAATGTTTTAGGGTTTGGGGGGACTGGTTTTTTTCCCTCCTAGCAAGGACGAGGCCCGCATTGCAGGGAATCTTGGTTGAACATGGTTGTTTCACAGCTAATGAATTTTTTCTCTCCTACCTAGCAAGGACGAAGCCCGCATTGCAGGGTGTCTCAGAAGAACAGTTGCGCTGCATCAGCTGCTCATGTACAAGATGTGCAAGCAGCTAATTGATTGCATATCCAGAGAAGTCCTGGTCAAGCTCAATTTAGCTCGCTCCATTACATCTCTCAGGACTGCATGATCCACCATTAAAGCTGGAGTCAATTCTCTCAAGGCTTGGCATCTAATTCAGGCACAGACAATGTTTGTCCGATACCGGGGCTCTCTCTCACAGTAGCCAGTAAGCTAATGAATGAAAGGCAGGGTTTTCCATCCATTCTCGTCCGCATCAGAACCTTGGAACCTTCGAGACCTTCGAGAAGCATCGCCAGAGTTGCTTTCACAAAGGACCGTGTTCACAGCAATAACAATATCATGCAATCAGTTACCTCAGCTCAGGTCTTTCGGAAAGCTCCTAGGTGCCTCTGTTATCTGTGATGTTCACAAGTCGGAATCTGCTTCCGAAGAGCAGAGCTTGAAGCTTGGGCACTCACAGCTTGCTACTTTACCTTAAAGCTTGCATCCCAAGCAGCCATCAGCATGCCCTCGACGCCGGGTTCCCGAAGCAGGTTGTCGCAACTCGTGTAGAGCCTGACAGCGTTTTAGTGCAGCTAAAACATGAGCAGGGCTTCGGATCTCAGTTCTCGGAACCTCCCGTCTTATCGGGGCTGGGGTAACCAGAATCTCCTTTCCGCCCTTGGCTCTTGTAGTTCCTGCCCTTGGGACAGCGGATTCCAAGTGGAGCAGCCCGTGCTCCAATTGCGCTCATGGTAAGGTTGCGACTCGGGTGCAACTCAGGTACTAAACATATCCTCTAGGTTCAGTGTTCTTGAAGTCTTTGTACTGCGGGATGATCGAAGCTGCTAGCGCTTCGAAGGGAGCTCCCGGGCATGCAGTGCTGGCACTGCAGCCGCCTCCTACGGCCCAAATTGACTGACATTCCTGGTGTGTGTGTGTATATATATATAGTTTTTTTTGGCTCCCATATATATATGTACACAGATTTTGATTAGAAATTTATATACGTAATTATGATATACTAGACCTGAGCTTCATGTGGGAAAGCTCTTCGGCTTTCAACATATATCCTCGACCCTTTATCGACTGTGGGCAAGGAATTCTGAACGCGTTCGAAGGTCCTCATGCAGCGCATACAGATTGTGGATAGATGCATGAAGCAAGGCAGGTGGACTGCGCCTGCAAGTGCTCTGAGAGTGCTGCGAGCCGTGCCTAAGCTCCCAGGTCTGTACCAAAGGACATGACAGGCTCTTGTAGAACCCCAGTTCAACCCCTATTGCAGACCCTGATAAGTCTCATACTATATGTAAACTTATAAACCCAGGGTTTGGGGTGGTGAGATCAAGACCCCACATGACTGGAGGGCGTTCAGGGAAATTTTGGCAATGACCATGACCCATGTAGCAGCACCAGGGACCATAGGTGCCACACAAGGTCTTGGATCTTTCGGCACCAGAGGCCCTAGTCTTAGGGCTTCTTCGAGCTCCAGACTGCCAGCCCAAACTGTGAGCTTCTCAACAGAACTTCGAGTTGCCAGAAGAACGCACACGCGTCGTTGTTCTTGCATTTGACCTGGCCGCTGCAGGGTGCTTGTGCCCAGGTTTCATCAGAGGTTCACAGGTTTGTTGGGTCTTGAAGATGGTAAGCGCATGGTACATCTTCTTCCCTATCAAAGGATAGGTGGCTCATGTATTTGAGATGTCTTCCTTCACGTGTTGGCAACGGCACAAGGCACTCTACCGGCAGGAGGAAGTTCAGCTGGCTGATTTAGGAAACAATCTGAGACAGAGATGGAGGACAAAGGACACACGCTAGATGTCCCGACTGTCCTGGCTTTGACAAAATCAACCAGTGGGGTCTGCCCTCGCACGCATCAAAACCCGTATTGCCGTATGAGCCAGCCGGATCCTGGGCTCCCCAGTTGAGGTCGCACTTTAGAACCCTCAAAGTCCGAAGCCTACGGCCCTACGCGCAAGGACTCCTCGCAGTCGCCAGCTTCCATCGACGTCGTGTCGGTTTCGAAGAGCGGGCTCCCCAAGAGGGAGGAAGGCGAACCTGCTCAGGTCGCTCTTCTCCAGCGTATCCGTGCGGACATGGAGGAAGGGAGCTTCAGGATGAGGCGCCAGGGCTAGGGACACCAAGAGGCACGCGGAGGCATGCACGGGACAAGGAAGTACTAGCAGGGCTGGTCTGGAGTTCAGAACTCATCGAGTCCTTGGAGGCATTGCTGGGCGCCCCACACACGAACTCACCTTCCACAATGATCAACGGCGAGGGCACGAAATTGTCCTCGGTGGCAGCTGGTACTAGTGAATGCTGCTGCAGCATTGCGATCAGTCTTGGCGGCCACAGGCTACTTCCCGGAAGGGAAAAGAGCAGGAACCCGGCAACCGTGAGACAGTTAGATGATACCTTGCCCAGTTTGGGTAATAATGCCACCGTCAACCCATTAGACGATTATTCCTATACTCCCCCTTACACTCCACCCCATATATCACTACTACTTCCCCATTGTCAATACAAGTATAGGAATAACTATTACTTCATCTATATTCTCTAAGGTGATATAATTACCCAAACTGGGCAAGGGGTTCCTTGTAGAATTTGGTTCAGGGTTTAGGGTTAAGGGTTGTATCAAAGCTTTATCTTCTCGGATTGCCCAAGAATGTTAAAACAATACTGTAATTATAAAATATAACTGCTTATGTATTATAATTACACTATAATATGATTGTATAAGAAGACTTAGCTTGTTTATTTTGGCTTGCCATCAACAGGTATCTCAATCATCACCCTGTCCTTGTGCTTTCCAAATATCATAAAGTAGTTCTCCAAAAACAGATCATTCATTAACAACTGCCACACATGATCAAAAACCTCATCAACTTCAGGCTTCTTATCCACAATCTTGGTTTTCTTGTATTCCTTTCTCTTCTCTCTGCATTTAATACAATTGCGCCAAGGTTGCCCCAATCTATTGAATCCGAACTCTTCTGCAGGTTTTTTGCTGTGGCATCTTGTGCATTTGATTGTCTCCATCTTAATACTATTAATAACACTATCCCTTTAAACTGCTTTTATCTAAGCATTCTGAACAAGTCATAGTGCATTTAACATAATAATACGCGTGCTTACCAGCGCAATAGCAACGCTTGAAACAATCAATGTCTTTGACTTGCTTACAACGACAACACTTCCGAGTAACAATAATAACTGGTTCGCTATATGGATCAAAATCAACTGATATTTTATTTACTTTAATTGGCATTATTATTATTATATACGGGGATATTGTTATAAATAGATATATGTATAACAAGATTTTTTCCCTTAAGATTTAACGAAACTAAATACTAATTAATCTCATTACCACGCTCTTATGACGTGCTTATGAACCTGTTCAGTGGGGAAGCATTGGGACTAACATTGGCATTGTTTCTGTTTCACCTGGGGACTTACATGTGTCATGGGCGGCACCTGTCAAAATTATTTAGATATTTTTGTTTAAATATGTTTATGATGTTTTTATTTTCATAGTTTCTTCATTAGCAGATGATGACGATTGTTGTATTTGGTCTATATCATTTTTTAATTGCTTCCTTTTTTCTTTCAACTTATTCAATTTTATTATAAAATCAACATCTTTGTCTAATTGTCTAATTTCTTTTTTCAACTCTTTAATATCTTCTTCTGTTTTTAGTAATTTAACTTCTAAATTCATTTTCAAGTCCTTAATATCATCTGCGTTTTTCTCAATTTGTTCCTCACATTCTTCTGGTGTTTTCTGTCTTCCACCAAATCCAGTATCACATATCGCCACGCTTCCTTGTTGTTCTGGTTAAAAAAAATTAGCTTCAGGTGATACCCCCCTACCTAATTTATAACTAGTTCTATCTTCAACAATTGAAACGGTTTTCTTATCTTTATCAGTAGTTGTTTTAGTTTCTCTATGATATAAATTCCTTCTACATCGGCATGGTAAACAGTTTAAACTCGTAGGGGTTAATTTAAAAAATCCGTCATCATCTTCTTTTATTGCTGTTGTTCCTTCCATTATAGTAACTATGTTTTAATTGATTTTTCTTAGTTTTTAAAAATTGTAGCATGCCCTTACAAATTTCTAGAATAGAGTAGCAACAGCGTTCATATTTTGGTTCAGTTATTATCATCTCTTCAACTTCTTCTAAATTATTAATGACACTTATACATTTATCATATCCCATTATATTAAAAGATATTTTTCTCTTATTATTTAATGAATATAGAAATCCCCAAAGTAGAACCGATAGACATACCCGAATATAAATATGAAAACAGCAAGTTTGACATGATGCCGAAGCTACCCGCGCGGATGTTATGCGTGGCTTCTTCAACAGGTGGTAAAACGGTATTGATACAGAACTTGATATTAAAAATCTACAGAGGATCGTTTGAGAGAATATACATCTTTTCGCCCAGTGTTCATGTTGATGACACTTGGTCGGCAGTAAAGAAATACATAAGGGATGTAGTGAAGGTGGATGCCGAAAAGGAACAGCCTTATTATGAGGAATACGATCCGGTGGCGCTAAAGAAGATCATAGACACTCAACATAAAGTAATTGATTTTCAGAAGAAGAATAAACAAAAAGATCTGTTTAGCATTCTGTTAGTGGTGGACGATTTTAGTGACGACCCACGTTTTGTAAGATACTCCAATATCCTTCACGGTCTATTCACAAGAGGTCGTCATAACGCTATAAGCGTCATCTTGTCCACTCAGAAATACAATGTTTTGGCACCTATCATTCGTAGTGCATTATTCATCTTCAGACTCAAAAATATGAATGAAGTCAATGCATTTATTGAAGCGAATTCCGCATTGGTGGATAAAAGCACATTATTTGAAATGTATCAAAAGCCGTGGATTTTGCCCCTTACTCCTTCTTCTACATAAACACCAATGCTAAAGATGTTAGTAGTATGTTCTTCATTAACTTTGAACAACGCTTTGAAATAGGTGATTAATAATGTTATTTGTTGATAATATTATTAATTAAATCAACGTGTAACTACACAAGTTTATAGCAGGTAGTTTATAATATGTTTTATCGCTTTTTGTTTCTTCTAACTTTTCAACTCTTTCAATTACATCTTTCAAAGTATTAAATAGTTACATATCTGTTCTTGTTTTTTCATGAATATCTAATTCTTTTATTTGTTTCATATTTTCTGTAGCACAAGATTTAGATGATGTAGAACCCATATAATGAAGTTTAGATAAATCTTCTTAATCACTGTCACGGCTTCGCCCTGAGGGCGAACTTTGTTCGCCGTCACCTTTAAACTTCTTTTTCAATTTTGTTATTTCACCTTTCATTGTTGCCATTTCTTTTCTCATCGTTTTAACTAGATCAATTAATTCTTCGTGTTCTGTAATTAAATGCTGTAATGCTCCGTGTGTTATTACTGCTGTTTTACAATAACCTAATCTTTTACGTCCTTTATTGTCAGTTGTTATTATTCCCTCCCATTCTTGTGGAATTACACTCTCAATGTCTTGTGCAATAAATCCAATATGATTAACTTTGTTCTTGTCTTTGTTTAAATGTGTAAAATTGAATGTTTTCGGTTTTACATACTTAATTATTTCATAACATTTTGCACTATTAACTTCTTTGATATTTTCTTTTAATGAAAAATCTGACGAATAACCAAAGTTTCCATCAATATAAACCCCACCTGGCGATATTTCCAATACTTCATTACCTG